TTCCATAAAAAGGTATCAGCAGCTCGAATCAGCAGCCCCACTATTTCATCTAGACTTTATCTAGATTTTGATGATGGTCATGCATCACATGATTGTTTCTATATTCTTACTGACTTTTTAATCACAAAAAAAGGTATTTCTCCAACCCACTACATTATTATTTGCATCGTCAATTTATCCCTCCCCTTCATTGATACTGCTACATATCATCACATTAGTACTTCGCCTGATTATGTTATGCTTAATTGTATTGTTCCCAAACAATCTGTTCAGTTATGCGAAAAATTCGTGTCACTCATCTCATACATACTGCTGTACTCTTTTTTATACTTGTGGGATTAACCTTCGTTTAATCCACTTACTACTTTCAATTCCCCAGATAAACCAATTCAAGTGCCATGTCGCTGCATATAATCCATCAAACATACCGCATGCACGTATTTGGATCCGCACAATCGCGACCGCTGCCCAAATGCGAAATAATATTACTAATTCACCTCTCACACCACCAAATACGTAAGTGGCAGTAGATCAACCTTAAATGTAGCAGGTTTGATATAATAGCATACCACAAATTCTCCAAAAAATCTGAATCAGAAACAAAAAGGGCAAGGTAGAATTTCGGGTATCGCTAGTAGGAGAATTGGATAACAAACTTTATATCCAACTCCACAATTTTGAATTTATCTCCACTCACCTCTCCTCTACGTTTCCTCAATCCTCGAACCAATCGATTGTACCACATTATCTCCAACAACTCCGCCTCACAGAAAAGATCTCAATTATACGAATTTATTGACCGTACTTCATCAACTCAACAAACTACTATGCCATTGAAACGTCCAAAAACAATGACTACAGTTAAATCTGTAGAATCCATTTCTACTCCAGACAATTCGAGCGAGGATAGCAAATCCAGAGGACAAATCAGCGCCAACAACTCCGAAAAGAACACTGCGATTTAATGACAAGCCTAAGTAGCATCAGACATCCTAAAAACTACTTCATCCAAGAAATCGTAATTGTACTTCTTATTGATTCATTTTTCGATAGCACTCTGGTATGTGTATTACTCTCAGTTTTAGTAAGCATTATCGGTAACGGAGAATAGAAATAGTGACAGATGTAGAAGAAACCGAACTATAGTAATTATAACCATTCTTACAGAATTTACGGTGATTGTCTAATCTTGATACATTTCAAGTGGTTATAATCGACCTGGATTGTCATGTGACAGTCGATTCTTACATTGCGTAAAAACGCGCAAACGACGTACACACACACTCATTCTTGCGAAATATATAATAAAAAAGACGTGAGACCGTGAATATCTCTTCTTAAAACTCCTACATGATAAGCAATCATTACATGTGAAATAGCTAGAGTATCATTAAATCAATCAATGCAGATTCTTTTGTCGATGTCGTCTTATTCACCATGCTATGGCCCGTGCCAATGTACTCAATTACATACAATTAAAGCAGCGAAAACGTTTTTTGTGATAATAAAATAATATTATAACTTGAACTTGTGTGCAATTTCTGACCGGAC